GACGTGAATGTTCGAGAACGACGTGGCGTGATACTAGTCACGTGACCTCTGCTGACGCAACAATACTATAAATTAAAGTGTGAACGCCTTTTTCTGACGAAGCATGATAATAGTAAAATCTTATGACAAATATAATTAATTAATGTACCAACCTGCCCTCAGCGGGCAGTTTCAGCCTCAGCTAAAGGACTCTTTTCATTAGGAATGGGGAAAAAAAAAGCAAAAAACATACAAGTATAAAACCTGAGAAATACCTCTATCATCTGCGTCAAACTCCAACTCTTAACTTAGTCGTAATAAATATACTAACCACCAAACCAGAATAGCATAAGACGCCAGGAAAATTTGATTTACTGTTTAAAATTCAAGGGCCTGCTCACAATAAAATCATCGTAACGCTGAGGGTACATATTATTCAATTTCGCTTCACGGTCACCTCAGTTGATTGAGAATTATATTCACATACGAAAAGCCATGGCAAATTGTTTAACTTAAAACAATAATAATTACAAATTCAAAAGATAATACACTAGCGTACATATAGAATTAGCAGAATATTGAAAATCAAACGTTAAGGTTTTTTTTTCTATTTCATTAAATTCATATCAAAAGAAAAATCCCTGCAGTATTCTTATTATGCAACACCGATTTCAAATAATTGTATCGATTCAAAGATGACATTATTTATGCATTTCAAAAACTATGACAACTCCATTTATATAAGTAGGGCTTGTACTTCGGTGTTTATGTTTTAAAAAAAACAATGTATATTTTTAGCCGTTTTGTAGTTGTATTTGGATATCTAAACATCGCTGTTTTCCAGGTTTTCATTTTGTTTTCGATTTTAATATTGATACTATGATAGGTATTTACATACTACTAGTACTAATCAAGCATGAATATACTAATGGTAATATACCGTATATTCTCTGCACACTAATTTCTCTGGTGGGAGTAATAACAATTACAAAACAATAGTTCTATTTATGTTAAAGCTTTGTAAGAGCAGCTAATATTTTACACGAAATTATAAAAAGAAACCACTAACGGACGAAACATGTTCATTTTCCTTAAATTAAGAGTAATATTCCAACTCAATGCAGCCATAAAACTAAAATTAGCTACAATTTCTATGTCTATTAATGCAGTAAAGTGAATAACAATTTATGACTTTTATTAAGAAAACTTTTTTTTTTTGTATCGGGGCGTTTTATTGATTAAAACCGAAAATCAGAAGTCCTACATATTACAAGCTTCCCGTACATAAAAACCTTTTCCTGGAAGCTGAAACTGGTTTCTTTCGCGTTCTCATTTAACCTTGAGAATGCCCTAAATACAATTAGATAAACCGACATAAGTCAATAGCCAGATCATCACAGAAATAAACTATATGAAAATTAGGTCCAATATGCAGGCGCACACTAAACACATTGAAACGTAAGATAGACATAAATTATATGTACTGTAAATATTATAATATAGTTAGACAGTCAAACAGCTATAAAACACAGACTGAGAGAAAACTGGGAAAAGAAAAGGAGGTAATGAGTTTTGACCACTGCGAAAACACGATAAATGAACAATTTAGTACCAGAAACAGGTTCAATAAATATTTTCTCCCGTGTTATAACCTAACACAAAAATAGCTTACCAAAATAGGCTGTATAATATAGCCAAACTAGCGTGTTCATTGAACAATTGTACACATCGAAAAAGGCCGGCAACACTGCAAGGATAGTTCGCTAACGTTCTTCGTCTGAGTTCTTGACGTCAACATCCCACGCAAGCAGTACCTCAAATTCAAGTTTTAATATTTTGCGAAAACACTTATTAACAACACCTCAAATAATATATAATATTTACCGAAACATTTTTTGGAATCACCATCAATAACTCGAGAAAACGTTTTAAAAATTAAATTAACATTTGCGTTCACAATTAACTTACAAAGGACCATCTCACTTTTACCAAGCCACTTCAACTGAAGATCAACATGTGATCAGCCCTATCGCACATAAACTTTCTTGAACTGTGATTGGTCAATGTCTCTTCTTTATGATTTTTGAAATTAGCCGACAGATGACGCTACATGCAGAGTAATGAATATAAACAAGCTATTATTTGAGTTATGCAACTACGTGTTAAGTTTCCGGAGCATGTGTTTTCAGCTTGAATGCCCACGCAATTTCGAAGGCTATATATTCAGAAACGTATATTTGTATATTGGATTAACATATTTTTTTCTATAATAAAGCTTTGTTATACCATAGCATAATTATTAGAATTAAGAAATAATCACCTGTACTTTTCAAATAAAGTTTGTTACAGAAAAAAAATTTCGATTCGTCATGGATGATCACCAATCATATCAAAAAGAATGTTAGATATTCAACATTGCAAACGGTGTCAAGCAACTATAAAGGATGACGCATTCACTGCTCAGAAGTATTACTTTCATGGATTCTTGTGATATTCAAACAAAAAGTTCAAACATTTTTTGGAAGCAGCAAATCGTTCAAAGGTAGAATTATTTGTAACATAAAATTAATAACCTAACTTCTTCGTATATTGACCTATAACAATTCTTTACGAGTAAATCTACCATGTCGAGTGCACATTTTACTTGGTCTCATTCCTGCTAGTCAATTTATTTTATGTTTAAGCTATTATTAACATACATAGTTTGAGTTACTTCAAAACAGCGGAGTGATTCTTTTGAAACACCTCTGTTTTTTTATGGTTTATTAAAATCCCATCAATATAATATACCGTAATAAACTCACAGACAATTTCACGGGTATGGTTTTTTTCTAATTTTCGCCTTTTTTATTTCCCGTTTTGTTTCGTCTAGTAGTTTTTAAGAAATGATAGCGTTAACTAATTTTATAATAAGGTTGGGCAGTAACTCTTAATCTACAAAATAGTCAGGTAGAAATACACTGTATTAGCGGCATTAAGACTACAGTTGGAACAAGAAGGAAATTATATAAAGTTTTTGATCTTCTTTCCATTTTGTAAAATTAGCGAATGACAATATCGTTCATTTCTGTGTTTAAACTTCGTTGCCGGGAATAATGTAATAGTTTATTTTGGAGGACTAACTCTTGGCTTGTGTGTTGTTGTTTTTTTAAGTTACTGGGATAACTATATGTCAATATGAATTACGTCCCCCTCTAGCGACTAGTTATATATTTCTGTGACTACTCTCACGTTTTCTGCCCGGATATTGACAGTTGTATTTTTACCCCAGGGCAGGGATATTGTTATCAATCTTCTGTGTGTGCGTATATTACATATGTATACAGTTTTCATCTGATTTTGATGAATTTTAGTACTAAAATTGGGACTTTCAAGGAACAACTGAATGTAGCTGAAAAGTCAAGATCACACTGAAGGTCAACTGCTTTCGTTATAACGGTAGCAAGTTGGAATTTCCAAAAACGGTCAAACTCGAGAACAAATCGAGATGGAATATCTTGGCTTACATTTTTGAAGGTGAGGAATTTTTTGATGTATATTTTAGGTTAGTTACTACAAAAGTCGAAAATATTGCTGGAAGGAGATTAGACTCTGTGATGTGCAGTTTGACTGATGTTCATCAGAAAAGCCAAATGTTTCCACAAAACACTAAGTTCAGGACTGTTAAGCAAGAAATAAACTGAATATGGACAGTAAAGGAATAGATTTACGCACAGTGGCGCCGAAACTGGGTAAGCAAGAGTGATTGCTCTCCCCAGATTTATGTAGACGTAGTAAGTGGGCATGGCAGCAGTCACTCTTAAGTAGGAGACTTTTACGGAGACTAAAACAACGAAATTACCATTTATAGAGCATAAATACCAAATTTTCAAAAACCGTATATATCGTATAGTGTCACTAGTTACTCCAAAATAATACCTTTTGTGTGCAAATAATAACTGACAATTTCAGGTTTGTTGAAAGTCACTCCCTCTGGCAAAACAAGTTCATACGCCACTCTGAACACAAGTGTGTTTGAAATATAAAATTATTTACTAAAAGTACAGTGTAATGTTACCAAAACCGACCGGGCTTCTTATGTATAATTACTATATGGTTGGTGGGGCCGAAAAACGATTGTAAAAACGAGAGAAATGAAGAGACATATTTCTGGAAACACCCGACTTACATACCCAGGCAAAACAAGGAATCAGTACGGTATCCCACAAGTCTACAGATTACATACTTTAACTGATGGTCTACACAGAGAACCAGTTGTACAGGTTTCTGAATTGCCTCTTTGAATAGGCTACCTTCCTAGAAGTATATATAGAAATGTATACATGTTAGCTTGAGACTTCAGAACAAAGACTGCAGTATGTAGTCTTTACATGTGTAAAAGGATTAACACATACTTATGAACTTGAAACACATGGCCAGGTGGTTAGGGTGCTCGACTCGCAATCTGAGGGTCGCGGGTTCGAATCCCCACCAAACATGCTCGCCCTTTGAGCCGGGGGAACGTTATAATGTGACTATTCGTTGGTAAAAGAGAAGCCCAAGAGTTGGCGGTGGGTGGTGATGACTAGCTGCCTTCACTCTAGTCTTAAACTGCTAAATTAATTACCGTTAGCGCAGATAACTTTGCGCGAAATTCAAAAAACAAACAAACACACATCAAAGAATATCATATCTACACGGTCAAATGTCATGGAAATTTCAAAATATATATATTATGTGAATATAACCGAATAAAGATATCTTTTTATACCAATTATGACTATTTCCGCCATTAGAACTATGTGACTACCTTTCTAGTTTATTTCACATTTTTACCTATTGTAATGCATTTCACGACAATTACTGTCATGTTTTGAATGAAAGTAGGCAAGTCGTTAGGCAGGTAGTAGAATACCACTGTTATATTCTTTTGCTTCAAAGTATTGTTACGACAGCGGAAGTCATGCGACGCTGGGAGCATGCGCGCTGTAGTTTCTAGAAAGATCATGACTTATCGAGGAACTCTGCGAATATCCCAGTGTTTGCCAGGCGCCCTCTTTTTTTTTAGTATATAAACCCTGCAAATAAAGCCAGCGATAGATAGATATGCAGATAGTGGCCCGGCATGGCAAGCTGGTTAGGGCGCTCAACTCGCAATCTGAGGGTCGCGGGTTCGAATACCCGTCACACCAAACATGCTCGCCCTTTCAGCCGTGGGGGCGTTATA